TCTGGACACCATGTTTATCCTGACTTTTTTTCGGGTTCCTCAGAGTCTCTGAAATTACAACAAATTAAAAATTCAACCCAGCAATCCACCCAACCTTCTCCAATATCCAAGATTTAGATAATGACACCATTCATTTCCTCATCAAACGTAGCAAAACAGATCAATTAAGAAATGGCCATTTTATCCATATATTCAACTTATCGACCCCATCAATTACTTTCCTCCTTCCTTGCACACAGGAAGGTTCAAATCTCTTCCCTTCTTGACCCCTTTTTCATTGACGAAAATAGCCTTCCAGTCACCAAACATTAGTTTCATAAAAAACGTCTCAGGTTACGTATGTAACCATGGTTCCCTGAGTAGGGAACGAGACACTGCGTCCTCTAGGGGTCGCTATGGGGAACACCTTCAGTGTGACCGGTGTCTGAAGCATATATCTAAAAACGACAACAACACGTTGGCCGGCGACAGCCTATGATGTCACTACCGGTGCGACTATAGTATAAATAGGCACCGGGAGAACAAGTCATCCACTTCTTCGCCTGAAGCTTGCGTCCGAAGCATGGCAGGAAACCTAGAGGACGCAGTGTCTCATTCCCTACTCAGGGAACCATGGTTACATACGTGACCTGAGATGTTCCCTTTCAAGGGAACTTCGAACTGCTTCCTCTAGGGGTCGCTATGGGGAACGGTATACCCACGCCACCATGCTGAGGGGAGTGCATGCCAAACCACAGGCGAGCACTAAGTACCAACTCTTACTAAAGCTTTAAGGGAGTTGCCCCTGGGACGTTAGACGGCTGTCAGTGACATTATCCCCTACGGCCAAAGGCCTAAGCTACATACCCCAAAAAACTTACCTGTTAGGGCCAGAACTCCTGGGCCCGGGGTAGAGCTCAAGGCTTGGAATCAGGAATAGATTCCTTTAAGGGAATACGGTCAAGTGCCTCGAATCGTACTAGGTCTTGGCCTGTCACAAAGGGGCTACCACTTGCTCTGCATGAGCTTGCTGAAGGAACTGGCTCAACAGACCCCTAGTAGCAACACCCTGTTAAAGTAGGTATCCTGAGGATACATAGGTGGAGTGGTGCCCAAGGTGGAACCGGGGCCTAACCGACTTAAGAAAGGGCACAAAGCTGCCGCCCGTAGCCCCTACCATACAAGATTTTAGAAAGAATGCAAAAAGCTTAATGTGCGAACTTACCACAGTGTGGATTTTAAAAAATGCACAGGGACTTCGCGTGCGCACTTACCATATCATGGATTTTAAAGATACCGTTCTATTGTAGTTTTTTTTTTTTTTTATAAACTTTTATTCTACATTTACCATTGGTATCCATCGCCTGTTTGTGTCCTCTGGAATTTCTTTTTTTTTTTTACACAGTCTGCATTTCATCCTTGTTTTGATGAGTCTGTGTTTTTTTAGCCATTGAATTAACCTTCTTGTACCTCTTCTGCTGGTCTGCTCACAAAGTGAAAAAACTTTCGTTCCAAGTCCCATTATTTCGCTGCTCAAAAAACCTGCCACCAAGAAAAACTACAAGGAGATCTAAAATAAAGAAGAAGAAAAACATGTACAACGTCTGATTCGGTAGGTGCCTTTTTGTCCTTATTTGGAAAAGTTACGTACTACGTTCACGCCAAACGTACTCATTGGACAAGCTTTAGCTATTCATGTTACAGTATTTTGAAGCTGTACTGTTTAAAGGGCAAGCAATCACTGGACAACCACAAAAATATCTAAATCTGAAATCAAACCTAAAAGGGTTTTGGATCTATGTGCTCAAGAACTGTTAAAAAGATCCGGATTACAGCATTTCATTCAAGAGCCATTTATCGCACCAAACATGGCGTGCATACAATTTGAGCAAGACCGAATGAAAAATAAAAACTTTATTAAATTGTTTGAAGATATTCAAATAACTGGAATAAAGCCAGCCATTAATGTTATTACACTTTGGAGTAATGACCTCAACAGGGAGGAGTCACATCAGATGATTGAATTAATCAGCAGAGATGGGCGTTATACGCAAATAGGATTGGAGAATCAACGTACACACAGTTCCAGTTCAGAAGAAAGCATGGCGATGGAGAGGAGAAATCCACGCAAAAGGGCACAACCTCAACATCTGCTCGACGACAATGACGAAGCAGGTAATTGTGTATGTCATATATTTTTCAAATTTGTACAATATTAGCATTAAGTTAGTTAGTTAACACATGCCGTTGGAACAGTACATCAGTGGACATTTTTATAAAAGCTACCTAAATATCCTAATTTAACCAAGGCCTAGACCCTGCTTAAGCTAACCTATGATCAAAACATCAAGAAAGTTTATAAGACACTTTGATTTATATGATATTTTATGTTTAATCTAATATTAAATACAATAAATTTTGGCTCTACACTCTAAAAAAAAAAATGGTGCTATATAGCACTAAATCTAGCGTAGCGTTAGTTCTGGCAGGTCACGTTAGTCAAGCTCACATCAGCTGACTCTCAGCTGATCCCCATCTACCTATGGGAATACGACACCTATCTAAGCATTCATATATAAGGTCCCGCAGTAGTATCAGCAGTTTTCGCATTGCTAATCATAGGGGAACCACTTTTAGTGCTATTAAGCACCTATTTTTACAGGTGCTATATATCACTTTGTCAAATGGTGCCATGTAGAACCATAAGAGGTGCCATATAGCACTATGTCAAATGGTGCTGCCATATAGCACCAATCATAACTCATCCATGGCTCCCAGCATGCATTGCTACATGAATAAATGATGCAGCTGCATTGTCTTAGTATTTTCTTTTATTCTTACTATTTGCTTTTATTTTTGTTGTGACTTTTTACTGCCCTGTTTTGTGATGTTCAAAAATCATATCAAAATTTTCAGAATATTTTGTCACCATTGCTGACATTCACATGCTGATTCTTCATGTCTACGAGTGACAGAATTGAAACCTCTTTATGACCCGTAATTCTAAAAGTGGTTTATACAATTTTCTCACATTGTCACGTAGTATCATAGAACTGCAATAATATAAAACTCATAAAAGAACTAGAACCAGAGACTCAGACGCATGAAAAGATTTTACAGTAAGTTCCTTGCCATCACATATGTGCTTTATAAACACAATTGTAACAGCCAGCTAAACTTATTTTAACTTAAAAGTTAAAGTCAAGGGTCAAGAGGCAACTCAAGCAAACGCTATTCACCAAAACGGTAAGTTGAAAAAAAAAAAACATCTAAACCTTAATTCTCAATAAAGAATTTCTGTTTTAGATACTCCAGAAATAAAGTCTAACTGGTTAGTAATGTGTGAAGTTGGTGTTGCTGTTTGTGGAGAGGTCCTTTTTTCTGAGGTCAAAGGTCTCATGTGGGGGCCCTGGAATATTTCATTATGGGGGCCTTGGGGGCAAAAAAAATTATATCTTCAAGAAATAGACTGTATTTTAATGTTGTTTTAACCCTTTCCCCAACTAAACTAAGAGACTAAGAGAGAGTTAAAGAACCTTTAAAGAACTATACAGGGGCTTACAGGTTTTACGGTAGTGGTGCTATATAGCACCTCATCGACTCCAAAGAACCGCTGAAGAACCTTTTTTTTTTTTTAGAGTGTACAGAATAGCTTCTGGTAAGCAACATAGTAAGAACATTTACATGAGTCATGAGATATATAAATGAGAAAACCCTAAATGCAATAGTCTACTTTTGCTGCACCATGAAATAAATCATGAATCTGGTTTTGAGTGAAATAATAAATATATTTATTAAGCATTTATAACATGTGAGTAAAAAATGGATCAATATTTGGCAGGTATTGCATTAAAATCTCTCTTTTTAGTCATACATTTATAACTGATATCAATGATTTATAATGCATTTGGAAATGAGTTATTAGACATTTATGAACACCTTTATAAACCCTTTACAAAGGGAACCTTAATGTAAAGTGTTACCAATAATCGAATATCTTATCTAATATCTTAAAAATGTTCCTTGGCCTATGTCTTGAATCATTAATTGGACAAGCTGCTACAAAGACCTACCTCCTCTGGGCGATTTCCCTCCAGCTGAACAGACACATGCAGACAGGCAGAGGGAATATATAGGGAAAGCATATATTTTGCACAGATGATTATCTATCATGTCATGTAATATCATATAAACATCAATTTATGTAATAATAATTAGATGTTGTATAGTTGTTATATTTTTTATAACAAATAATCATTCAGTTTATTTGTTGAGTTCAGATTAAGGTTTACCTTATTAGTGTCAGAGAAGCAACTTGTGTCTTCCTTGTGTAGATAGTACACAAGTGGATCTACAAGTTAATATCTCACAAATCCTTCAGATTGGCAGTACATATGTGCTTTATAAACACTATTGCAACAGCTAAAGAGAAACTTATTTTAACTTGAAGTTAAAGTCAAGGGTCAAGAGGCAACTAAAGCAAACGCTATTCACCAAAACGGTAAGTTGAAAAAAAAAAAACATCTAAACCTTAATTCTCAATAAAGAACGTCTGTTTTAGATACTCCAGAAATAAAGTCTAACTGGTTAGTAATGTGTGAAGTTGGTGATGCTGTTTGTGGAGAGGTCCTTTTTTTCTGAGGTCAAAGGTCTCATGTGGGGGCCCTGGAATATTTCCTTATGGGGGCCTTGGGGGCAAAAAAAGTTATATCTTCAAGAAATAGAATGTATTTTAATGTTGTTTTAACCCTTTCCCCAACTAAACTAAGAGACTAAGAGAGAGTTAAAGAACCTTTAAAGAACTATACAGGGGCTTACAGGTTTTACGGTAGTGGTGCTATATAGCACCTCATCGACTCCAAAGAACCGCTGAAGAACCTTTTTTTTTTTTTAGAGTGTACTCTCATCATAAATAAAATGTTTGTGTTTTGTATCAACAGAAGCATCAGCACCAACACAGCAGGTGTCCTTAATAAAACTTAAGGAAGAACATGCATTTTTGAAATCCAAAATCAAGGTCCTTGAGGACAAATGCCGAGATTTAGAGAATGAGAGGGATTTCCTGCGCAGCAGTCTTGACAAATGGGAAAATGTTGTCTTTCTAATAAAAAGCAAGTCAATTTTTAATATGCACGCATTTAAATTGTTCAGTTTTTATAAAGATTTAGTCCTGATAAACATTTTGTAAAATAGTTTAAACATTTAAAGGGATAGTTCACCCAAAAATGAAAATTACCCCATGTTTTACTCACCCTCAAGCCATCCTAGGTGTATATGACTTTCTTCTTTCAGACGAACACAATCGGAGTTATAATAACATTTATCCTGGCTCTTCCAAGCTTTATAATGGCAGTGAACAGGGGGTGAGATTTTGAAGCTCTAAAAACCCCCTGGAGCCGCATGAAGTACGTTTTATGATCAATAGATGGACTTTTTTGAGCTTTAACCCCCCCTTCACTGCCATTATAAAGCTTGGAAGAGCTTTAAAATAACTCTGATTGTGTTAATCTAAAAGAAGATAGTCATATACACCTAAGATGGCTTGAGGGTGAGAAAATGTTGGTGGAAATTTTCATTTTTGGATGAACTATCCCTTTAATGCCTACAAACAGGGTTTGAAATTAACACCCGCCAACCCGCCAAATGTGGGTAAAAATCAGCTGTGGCGGGTAACGCTGTCAAATCACTAGCCAATCTGGCGGGTTACTTTTCGTAAATTATGTTCACTCATTAATTTCTTGGGGAAGTTCATGCAAGCCAAATCTGCGCAGGTTTAGCGCAAATACTGAACTCGTGAGACATCATGACATTATCGAGTATATTGCAAAAGCTAAACAAAACACACCTACAGAGGCGTGCATACGCGACGTGATGAAGTCTGGTTAGACCAACACAGGATTTAGTGCGCGTGCGCTTTTAGAGTGGTTCTTTCACTGCATGATTCAGTCTAATATGCATTAAGAATGATCACATAATTCAAGATGAGGCAGAAAATGTATATATTTATATCAATTCATATAGTTAATCAATATCACACGAAGAGTGCCGGTTTTTCTTAAAAAATCAGCATGGTTACAAATGTGATATTTATTTTATACAACAGTAAAATAAACAATAAGTTAATATCTAGATACTTACGTTTTAGACACCATATTGGCTGTTTTTGCGCAATTTATGTGCTATTTCGCCAACAAGAAAACATTCCAAACACAGCCACAGCACTGTTTTGCGTCTCTGAGCAACATGACGTTGTTTTGTTTCTGAATAAATCAACCGTTTAAATTATTCGGTTCAGCCGCAATGACTCACTTAACAGTGACTTGCTGCCACCTACTGGCGGTGTTAATTTCACATTTAAAGTATCTTTTCATTTTTTAAATAATTTCAAATATCAGTATTCAACATTTCATGTTTTAAATATCAAAACATTATTTATGCATTTGTAACTGCAGTTTAAAGCATTCCATGTCCCTCTAAGCTGCATTAACATGTGTAAATGCATCTAAATGCCACTTCATATGCAACTTCTGCAAAGATGAATTTTATTGATACTGATTTAATTTGTTTAGTAACAGCCTAAAGGTATTATTATTATAATTGACTGATTAAATGTAAGAATTTGACTCAAAAGATGATGTACACTTTTAGAAAAAAATGGCTTTATAAAGGTAAGAATGCCCATAAAAGTTAAAAATCGATTTAAACTTATTGGAAAAGATTAATTTCTATCACTGCTGTGAACTGACCAGCACACAGAATATGAAGAATATCAAAAATTTTAGGAGTCAGCTGTCCCCGGTAGTCCTTAAGATATCAGCGCAATAACACACTCAGCAAAATATCGTCTAATTATCTTTATCGATAAAATCACAGAAAATATTGAGATATTATTTTTTGTCAATATCGCACACCCCTAGTACTGACAAAATGA